TCGTTTTCTTTTGATCCGAAAATTTTTCCATATTAATAATAACAAAAATATGGTAAATAGAGAAGATAAAGGTTACGACAAATTATTCAAAATTCAACCTTTCATAATGCCAGCTAAAAAAAAATTTGAAAAAAATTCAACTCGAAGAGAAGTTAGCTTTAAACGAATTCATAATTCCTTTCAAGGGACACTCTAAATTAAGGCAATACATTAAATCGAAGCCCGATAAATGGGGGATAAAAGTGTTTGCCCTATGCGGCTCTTCTGGATTTATGTATGATTTTAAAATATACCAGGGAAAGTCTACTAATACTATAAAATCATATTTAGGTATCAGTGGAGATAACGTACTTCGCCTGTCTGAAATAATACCATCAAATAAAAACCATAAATTATATATGGATAATTTTTTCTCCTCATACCAATTATTTATGATTTATTAAAAAAAAAGATATTTGATGTCCGGAACGGTAAGATCTAATCGATTATCAGGATGCGCACTTAAAAACGATAAGGCTTTAAAAAAAGGAAGGAAGAGGCGCTGTAGATTATAAAAATGAAAAAAACGGTATTATTATTTGCAAATGGCTGGATAACAAAGCTGTTATTACAATATCTAATTTTAGGTGTTTTACCTACGACCAAAATTAAACGATGGTCTGTATAGGACAAAACCTTTATAAATGTAGAAATGCCCGCTATAATTAAAAACTATAATGAGAGAATGGGTGGAGTAGATCTTCACGATATGCTGGTGGAGTTATATAGGACAGATATTAAATGGAAAAGAAAATTATATGCGAATGGTTTTCCATTTATTGGATTCTTGTGTAATAAATGCATGGCTCCTTTATAGACGCCATATGAAAGCAAATAATATCAAATTTATGACATTATTGGTATTTAAATCTCAAATAGCAAAAGGACTGATGCTAGCAGGAAAGGATAACAACAAGAAGACTGGAAGACCTTCCAGTATAGTTGTAAAGAGAAGAAAAGCCATAAATATTGTCCCCATATCGGATATAAGATATGACCAAGTAGGTCATTTCCCAAAGCCCGTAAAAATTAAACAAAGGTGCAAGTATTGCGTAGATGCATATTCAAGAATTATGTGTCAAAAGTGTAATATTTATTTATGTTTAAATAATAAACTAAATTGTTATTTGTCATTTCATATGAAATAAAATATTTTTTTAAATGAACTTGCATTTTACCCATTGATGACATTTGGAATCATTGAATATTTTTTGATAGAAATACTCGAAATAAGTTTTTTGATAAAAATGTGTTATTTGTGTCTATAATAAGTATCTCTTAAAAAAAATTTTTCATCGAGGGAAAAAAAGTCGGGCGCGAAAGGGTTAAAAAAATATAAAATAAAAGAAATCCATTTTTCATTTCATAATATAATAATATAAATAAAAAATATATATCATATATGTTTATTTATTGATAAATAAAATATTAACATTAAATATAAATAAAATAAATTATTTTAATAAAAATTAAAAAATAATAATAGGCCGCGTTATATTTGGCGAATTAGTTTTCGCTATATTGTCCTCGCAATTTATGTTTCGCGATATTGACTTCGCTATAAAAATTTTCGCGATTATTGATTCGCGATAAAAATTTCGCTCTAATGTATTCGCTTTAAAGGTTTCGCGATAAGAGTTTCGCTATAAAAAATTCGCGATATTTGTTTCGCTATATTGTTTTCGGGGAAAAATATTCGCTAATGTGGATTCGCGATAAAAGTTTTGCTATAAAATTCATTCGCGATAAACGATATTCGTGATAAAAGTTTCGCTGAATTGACATGGAACCGATAAATTGTGATAAAGATTATTATTTTTTTATTACTTAAATAAATATCATTAATTCTTGTTTAACTCGATCCTTAAAATCCTTATATATTTATAATGGAAAAATATACTTCCTAAACAATTCTGGATCTCAACTTTAGAATAATCTTCTTTTCACTTCAATCAATACTTAATAGACAAAAACTCCCTCTAGAATGCGTTAACAGCAACTCTTTTAAGGAAATTAATTTATTTAGTCTACGTAAAAAATTAAATTAATTTTAATATTGCTTTTCATTATTTATAAGTACATAGACAAAATATAAACATAAAAGAAATTCAATCAATTTCAAGAACAAATTCAACTGACATATTTAGTTTGTGTGGATCTTATACTTTATTTAAAATTTCTTAGTATATTTGTTTAATTTAATTAATAGATAAATAAATAATATATTTATAATGTTATTTATTATATAAATAAACGATTTATCAATAAAAATATTTTGCATACTTTTAAATCTGTATATATATAATGCAATCAGATGTGATATCGGATACAGATCAGTAATCGGCAGATATCTAATTTAATATCGGTAATATCTGATTGGATCGACCTCCAAAAAGTGGTATCGGTACATAGCCTTTACAATCTCATAGAGCTCAAAAAAAATTTAACTCCTGAATTTTTTTGCTACTTTCGAAGATGATCTTTTTAGCTAACATTTCAAAATGACCTGTTTTCAGTATTCTCAAAAAATGAAAATTTCAGGGGGCTCTTCAAACTTTTCAGGGAGCCTGAGCCCTTGTGCGCCCCCTAGTGATACTCCTGTCGGTACGCACCTAAGAACCACCAATGATATAACAATACCTAGACTGATGATTCATTCATTTAAATGTGTATCTACAAATCAGCTGGTGGGACAGAATTTATAGATAAATTTTCTCCTTTTTTAAGATTAGTTACATATATAATTAAAAAATATATATTGGAAACCAAAATGGGCTGTCACTATCATTTGGTATTTACTATATTTTTAGCCAACTAAAAATCAACTAAACCAAGTTTTTAGACAAAAACATTCACTTGCCTAGTGTTTTTCTTAAAAAGATAGCAGCTCAAATTTGGGGAAAACTAATATAAATTAAAACGCCTTAATGTTAACGGATTTTCTCCAGGAGGGGGGGGGTCGCCTGAAGATTGAGCTGAATTAGCTGACATTTAGCCATTACCAAACTATAGTTATCACCAGATAATTTGTATTCAACTACACCACAAAATGCATTTTAATGAATAAATATCCCCAATTACATCATAATTTTAGTTTCATGATAATTATCAGAGACTTGTAAGCCAGGCCCTTATTTTAATTTTTTTTAAATATATCTGGCCAGGCCTAAAAATTTTTTTAAAATAGCAGGTCCAGGCCTAGAATTTTATTTTTAAATTTGCCGGGCTGGACCACATATTTTAAATGGTCACTATTATCTATAAAAAATAAAAATAAATTATATTTTTCAAAATCTGGGCCAGGCCAAAAAATTTTCTTATGGTACTCTGCTGGTCTCTGAAATTATATTATAAAAAATAAATTTTACTACTCAAGTCTAGTTTAGATAAATATTGGCATTCTGCTGACAAAAAATGTATTTTATAATAAAATCTTTCCCTCCAAAAAACATTAGTGGTTTTAATTAGAATGTTATTTTTAAAATTAGTATTAATATAAGTCCTTTTTTCATTATAAAATATATTTTATTGCAAAACATCAAATATAAAAATGTATATTCATTCCATGTAAATTTAAGCAGATTTGAGGTTTGGATAAAATTATTCAAAAAATTTGAAAAATCGAGATATCGAAAATATTTATAGGAAAATGGGTACACAAAGAAGTAAATTGATAAGAAATTTGAGCTAAGTAATTAGAACAGTGTTCAAATTTAACATGCCAGCCCATATTTTTAAAGATATCAAGGATTAACCTAAGAAAAATATTAGGTAAATAAAATAGTTATTAATTTAAAGACCAATTCTTATTTTTACTCAATATAACATTAAAAAATTAATTCATTTCACCAAAAAACACAAATGCACTCTTTTATTGGCATTAACTGAAAATTAATGTTCATGTTAGAATAAAGGTAATTTTTAAAATTATTAGATATTAAAGATTTTATATTAGCTGAAAAAAACCATAAATGCAAAATTGGTATATTTATTTAATACCCAGGTCAAAAAAACTGTTTTATAAACCAGTCTTAAATTTTTACAAGTTCAAGCTATCGTCTGCAACATAAAAACGCCAACCAGATATTCTAAGTATTTAACCACAGCAGTGTTCCCAATATCTTGAATTCTCTCCCCTGTGATAATATCTTTCCTTTCATCTTAACTCATGCATGCCCTGTCTTAAAACATGAAGTCATTAAATAAACAAATGTAGCCTACCTTATTATTATCTACCAATATCTTGAATTCTCTCCCCTGTGATAATATCTTTCCTTTCATCTTAACTCATGCATGCCCTGTCTTAAAACATGAAGTCATTAAATAAACAAATGTAGCCTACCTTATTATTATCTAGTTATAGCTAAGGCTTTAGGTCATATAGCTTCCAAAGGTCTAGATTAGCGTTATACTATCAGAAAAATCCTTTGGAATTTTATTATTTAAAGCAGAGGCTTGAAATTGAAATTCTCGTAGAAGTTTTTTCCATTTATTTAATAATTCTTGTATACATATTTACACCTTTTAATACAAAAAAACATTACTTGACTTGAATTTTATATAAGGAGATTTTTTTTTATAAAAACAAAGTTGTCAAAAAAATATGTGGGAAAAATTTAAAAATTGTGATAAAACTACATACAGGTTATTTGTGAGTTCTGTGCATGCTAAGGGAAAAAGTTATATTGCTGAAATTCTTTGAAATGAAATTTTAAAACAAAATAAAATGATCTTAATAAATGAACAAATTTTATCTTACAAATTATTTGCAATTATATTATGATGTATAAATTCATAAATTTTTTAATGTATGATCATTTAATTGAGATATTATCCATTATTTTTAGAATTATTTTTTTTAAAAATAAGAATTTTTCCCACTTTATATTTAGTGATTAATAATATCTAAAATTTTATCAAATATATATATAAATTAAAATAAACATTCTAATAATGTTTACTAATGAGCTTTGATTCCATTGCTAGTTAGATTTTGGATTCCATCTCCTTCTCTATCAATAACAAAACATGCATCTGTGATAATTAAACCATTCTTTCTTAATATCTAATTAAAAAAATTTTAAAAAATATTATTTTGACATAAATAGTTATAAAATTATATTAGAAATATGATGTAATAAGCATTGCTAATATTGTAACTCATTTTATTACATCCATTACTTGGTAAGTAATTAGCGCTCTTATTGTAAAATATTTAATAATAGTTTTATTTTTAAGTATCACTTAATTAACTAAAATTATAATATGTTATAGTACTTTCACAGAATCTATGATGCTGTTCCCACTTGTTACAACATCTTCAATAATTAAACATTTATCATCTTTCTTATATAGACCTTCAATAAGTGTTTTTGTACCATGTTCTTTAATTACATCTCTTTTGAAAATTGTAGGTATATTTTGGTCCAAGCTTATACTCTAAAATAAACAAATTTTATAAGAAATTATACAAAATATACTGTGGCAATTGGAAGAGCTGTATTAGGAATTCCACATATTACATCATATGATATATGGTCAGCTCTGATTTTATTGAATAAATAATTAGATAATGTCCTCTATATAAATTTATTTAAGATAAGTATTGCTTAATTAATAATTTTACTAAGAACAAAGGATAGGATCTTAGCAATCGCAAATCAATATAATATGGGGAAGTTATTCCACTCTTAAGAACAAATGAGCCAAATTTTATAGCACCAATCTCATATAATTTTAGAGAAATATGTTTTTTGTCACCATGCATTATTGTATTATGGAAATACTTAAAAAAAAAAATAAAAAAGTCACGATTGCACTTGGAGCAGGAGTCAATTAAAAATATGACATTATTTATAGAATTATTATGATACATTCACTTTATGTCACTAGCCTTTGTATTCTCACCTTGCGTAGTTAGATCGAATTGCACAAAATATGATATAAATATAATAATTTTACATTTGTATACTTCGCCGTCGCGCTGAGTACATGCATTACCTTTTTATAAGAAATATTTTTCAAAATACCTTTTTTAGATATTTTCTAAAAAATATATATATATTTGGAGGCTTTTTAAATTTTTCGGGGGGATGAGACATGGTTTTCATTAGCCTTTACAATCTCTGGATGATCAAAAAATATTTTTTAATTATTTTCAAAATTACCTATTTTTTTAGCTAATATTTTCAAAATTGCCTTTTTTTACGTTTTAAATTGGTTTTTATGTATTAAAAAAAATTCAAATTTCCAGGGGTATTTTTTAAGGGGGGGGGGGGGGGGGCTAGTCATAAAAATTTTTATTGGGTTATTTAGAGTATAGAAAGGTTTGCATTCTTAATCTTAATCATGGTATTTAAACTTCTATCAGGTAATATTGAGCATACATCGGACCTAGGGAATTTTTTCTCAAAATTGTCCTGTTGCTATAAAAATAGATAAAGGATACCATAGGCGTAGCCAAGGGGGGAGGCATAGGGAAATCCTCTCCCCCCCCCCCGTTCAAAAATTTATCACTTTTTGTGAATATCATTTTAAGCTAATAAAAAATATCCCCCTTAGTCCTCTTCCCACTCCCTGAGCCCAAAAAAATATGCATTTATCTTAAACAATTTGAAAGAAAGAATGTAAAAGTTGATATTATTTTATAAAACTATCATCATAATTTATACATTTTTGGAAAAAAGCATTTATATATAAAAAAGTGAACCAAACATGCTTTTTAAGAATGAGTAATTTTAACTTATTTATCTTAATAAAAGTAAAATAAAATTATAAAACTATTGATAAAATTTAATCATAAATTAAATAAAAAAATTAAAGCATAATACAAATAGTGGAATATTATATGTCGTAGATTTACAGTATATCTAATTTTATCAATTATCATATGACAATCAAGTAATTTTTATCAATAGTGAATTATATATTTTACAGAAGACTATAAAATATTGATAAGGACATCAGAAAATATCTTTTAAAGACATTGTGGGATAAATAATATGAAGATTAATTTTTAATATCATTTTTTTAATAAAATAAATAGATTGCGTTAATAATTGAATGCAAATTGTTGCAATATTTATTATCAAGAGCATTAGTAAAATTTGTTAAAATATTCACTGTAATATATTTTCTAACTGTCCAATATGTCTGTAAAAGTGGAATTTTACCTAGTATTTTGTAACTAATTCTATATAATAGAGGAATATCAACTATATGTATACTTACTTTTTATAAATAAATTTCTTTGTTTGTAATAAATTATTACCATACTTTTATATTAACTAGTAGATAGCCCGTCAAAAATAACGGAGAATGAGAATTTTATTTGTTTTTTTAAGAAAGATGTTATTTTTTATTTAAAAATCATATCCAATTTATAGTATTTTAAACCCCCCCCCCTCCCCATTTAGCTCAAGTCCAACCAATGTCATTGAGTCCATCCCATTAGGACTAAGATTGGAAACTATTTTTTGAGTCAAAATATATTTAAATGAGCTTTTACCAATGACATATAATTATATGTCATGGCTTTTTACCCAATATCAAAATTCTTTGTAAATATATTACTGATTACATAAGACTAACATTTAACATTAAAAAATTTCAAGCAAGGTCCAAGCTCATAATATTTGGAAAAAATTTACAAGCTTCCAAGACCTTATAATTTTTAAAAAAAATTCTCAAGCCTAGCTCAACCCATAATAATTTTGAAAATTTTTTCCTAGCCCGGCCCATAATAATTTGTAAAAGATATTCCCAAGTCAGGTGCAAGCAAATATTAATCTTGAGGAATATTTTCCAAGCCCAGTCCAACCCATATTAATTTTCAAAACTTTTTCCCACCCGGAGATAGTTAAATATTTAAATAATTTATCATCTAATGAAAGGGAAATCTCGGATTTACCAATTAGTGGGTTAACTCCTTTTGTCAAAAAATTTGATAAGGGCTATCTATATCTTTATGTTAAGTACAAAAAAAATGCTATCTATTTAAATTACAAAAATGCCATTCAATACTAATGAAACTTATATGCAATTTATTTAATTTTTTAAGAAATTTGTTTTTCTTGCCATATAAATTTAAATAATTTTTTAAAAAATTTGATAAGGGCTATCTATATCTTTATGTTAAGTACAAAAAAAATGCTATCTATTTAAATTACAAAAATGCCATTCAATACTAATGAAACTTATATGCAATTTATTTAATTTTTTAAGAAATTTGTTTTTCTTGCCATATAAATTTAAATAATTTTTTAAAAAATTGATGAGGATTAATTATTATTTTGTGTGTCTGATATAATTAAGAGCAAATCCTTTATGACATTTTAATTTTTGATGGAAAAAGCGACAAAATAAATCTGGGCAGTCGTCTGCAGAGGAAATAATTAATGTATAATATCATCCCATTTAGGGTTGCATGTGAAAGTAATGAATAATGACGGATTACCAAAGCAGTGTACAATACCCATTGCGTCCTGATAAAGCTGAGGCTTTGGGCTACTGGTAAAAGAAGAACGCAAAATAATATTTCTGCCAAAGTGTCCGTTTTGGTATCCCCCTCTAAAATAGAATCATGAACGACATTGTCAACTCAACCATAAAACGGTCGTAAGTATTGTTATAAAGGCCATGACAAAACTACCGCATATTTTCCCATTAATAATGTTAATGAAATTCGCCGCACTACACATTCACGTTTGAACATCCCTCTAAATATTCATGAAAGTTCCTCAGGGAATCGGATAAAGTATTATTTAAATTAACTCCTATTGAGGTGAATGATAGTGGAATTAAATGCTTATATTTGTTAAAAATTAAGCAGAGGTGGCATAGGGATTGTGGTAGTAGTGATAGAAATATCATTTAAAGGCAACTGGGTGATATAAAATAAACATATAGATATAAAACACTAGATAAAAAAACAAAATTAACCTTTAGAGGAGTTCACGGTTCCTTATTATCTTGGCCACCAATAACTCTAGAACGGGTAAGGCATTTGTTGCCATTTTTTTTCTTTGCTTATCTTTAATAATAGATTCATCATGTTTTGTAACAATGTGAGGGATTAAGATTGGGTTAGCCTAGACAAATAAATAAATCAGCCATAATTATAAATAAACTATTGTTGAAATTAAACAAACATTAAAATACTGAAAACCTGTAGAGGAGTCAATATTATAAGTATATCTAGTAATTGGGGGGCTATAATCAAAAAAAAAATTTGGGGGGACTTATCAAGCTTATCATGTTCTTCTAAAGGTTTATTTTGCATTTGTTCATTATTAATGACTGATATATCAATATTTGAACAATTATAAAGAGGAAATAAGATGGGGATAGTTAACTAAAGTAAAAACAAAACAATTCTCAAGTTAATTTTATAAGGTAGGATTAAAATAAAATACCATTCGGAGAGTCCAATTGGCAAATTTAAAAAAAAATAGGAACCTTGTTAATAGATATAGAATAATTTAAATAATATAAATACCGTAGTATGTATTTTTTTTGGAACAAATGTAAAATCCTAAAGACAGAAAACCCCGTTTTGTCTTTTTTATTGAGTTATATAAAAAAAATTAGTAAGAATAAAAAGGAGTATTGTTAAAAAGGTAGGATCCTTAAGAATAAATATATAATTTTAATTGAATAAAAAAAATATTGTAATAGATATATCGATTTTTTGGATAGATATAAAATCCTATATAAAATTATTTATAATAAGAATAATGTACTTATTTTTTGGTGAGTTATACAAAATAATTAGCATGGAGAATAGGACAATTGTGGATCCGACAAAAGGCAAGCTTTTAAAAAAGTAGGATCCTTAAAAATTGATATATTAATATAGTTAAATACTAAAAATAATGTACTTTGGATATTTTTCTGTTAGTTAGACAAAATATTCATCAGAGATGGCATATTGTGCGGCCCGAAATGGATAGCTTTAAAAATACGTAGGATGCTTAAAATAGATATATAAATTTATTTAAATTATAAAAAATATCATACTAAGTATTGTAAATGGAAAGAAAATAAGGAAATTAAAAGGGAAAGGAAGCTAAAGAGAAAGAATTAGTAAATTAAAAAGTTTGAGAAAGGTGAAGATAATAAAAGAAATTTAAAGGGAAGGAAAGGAAAATAGAATAGTTTTTTTAAATTTTTTATCAGGCTGATTTTTCACATATTATTTGAGACTATTGTTAAAATAATTAATGTTAGTGACATCTTCAATAATGATATATGTGTTGTTGGCGTAGCATAGCCAGTCTACATTTTGTAGGTTACTGGTATTTGTGATGTCACTAATTAGTAGATTGAAAATGGGGGGTGGCACATCCTTGTTTTATACCACATTTTTGTTTAAAAAAAGTTAGGGTTAATCTTTTGTGTTTTGAAACTATTTTCATAAATATTTATAAAAATTTTAAATGTGTGTAGCTGGAATGGGAAAGTTTAAATTATTGATGTTATACTTTTTGTAAACTAAGGGTGTATGATGATTGTTTGATTTGTAAAAACTCATTTTTATAAATTAAAATTATTATTTACCCTTATTTTGTTTTTCTTCTTAAAATAAATATGGGCTAAATTATTAATTGAATGATATTTATTTTTTGATATCAACCCTTGTAAAAACTCATTTTAATATAAAAAATAATAATTTACCAGGATAATAGTTGCTTAATCAGCATCTGTACAATCATTAAGAGAGGTTAAGACAGGGCTTGTTATCTAAAATAAAAACATAAGAATAATTTTAAAAATATTAATGTATTAAACCTGAAGAGGAATCAATATTAGGTTCAACTCTCTAGAAAGAGTGGGAATATCATCAGAAGCTAAAATTGATGTATTCTAAATGTAAAAAAATATAAGCATCTATAATTTAATTTATTTGAAAGAATTGAATGAT